CGCCTTCGTACCTCGCTCGGCAACAGGACTCTCTTTTGCCTTCCCTCTTCTGCAGAAACCTGCATGACAAAAAAAAAAGCAGGAGCAAAAGGAAAAAGAAGAGGCTACGCCGTGCCCTTCACTTCAGGACCACCCTCTTCATCTTCTGCGTCTTCCTGGTGTTGCTGGTCGCCCGCGGTGTCACGCATGCATTGGCTGGGGTCGTCCTCGTCGCCGCGGGTCTTCTCCATCCTCCACTGCGCTCGCTGCAGTTCCTCGAATGCGGCGCTCTCGATTCGCATGCGGCGGTCGTGCTCGCACCCCGGGTAAATGCCGTCCTCGAACTTTCGATCGAGCAGCTGCGCATCCTCGACGTTGTCTGTGAGAAAGGTGTAGGGCGGGGTGTAGGTGGTGTACAGGTACGTGCTGCGCGCCTCCAGCGACGGGTAGTCGTCTGCCCAGTCGCTCATCGTGCTGAACCCCTCCAGGGGGACCACGTGGTTCGTGTCGGGGATGCGGCGGGTGAAGAGGACGCCGCCGAGGTGGTCCAGCTCGTGCAGCGCCATGCGCGCCCGCACCTTGTCGAGGGTCACCTCGAAGGGGCGCCCGTCCGCCCCAATAGCCCGCAGCCGCACGGTGGCCGGTCGCTCAATGTAATGCATGAGGAAGCAGCAGCTCGCACAGGGCTCCCAGGCAAAACACGTCTTCCCTTCTTGGCGGCAGCGCGCCACCCACCGCGCCTCAGCCTCGACCACCGGCCCTCCGCCACGACCAGCTGCCTCCTCTTCCTCCAGCACGTCAACATTGACGGGGTTGATAAAGACGGTGCCGTCAAAGAGGGTAAACATCTGCACATTCCACCCAATCTGCGGGGCACAGAGGGATGGGTACTGATAGTAGTGGCGCGCCGCCCGTACCCGCTCAATCATCTCCGCAAACTCGCCAGTGCGGACCAGCGCAGGATCCAGCGGGTACTGCTTACACCACAACGAACGCGCAGGAAGCTGTACAATCGGATGCTCAACGTGTACACCGCTTCCCGCCGTGTAAGCAGTTTCCCCGGCGGCGCCACTACGGTTGTGTGTTGCACTTGACGAGTTCGGTCGTGTGGCGCAGCAGAGTGCGGCAAAAGAGGCGGAGCCGCGGACGCCAGCCCGCCAGGAGGCAACTCTCATTTCCCAGCAGGCGCTGCGAACAACCAGCCGACCGAGGCACGGTAAAGTGCGCATCGGCAATGCCCTCCCCTTAACCCGAGCAACAAGACACAGAGAAGGGGGAAAAAGACACAAGCGTGCAGCGGCGTCCGCAGGATTGACGGGTGCCTGAGGCTCTAAAGAAGTCACAAAAGAGAGATCAAATGAAATCATAAAGTAAAAAAAAAACAATGACACAACAGATACAGAACTCGAGGTGGGGGGGGGGAGGGGGATGGTGGCTGACCGTGGTGGGGGACACGTTTCAGCATAGAACAGCCCTCCTCCTCCAGAATGAAATCGTACACAAGCGAAAGGAAAGGGGTGGGAAGAGCGGCGGCAGCAAAACGAAGGGAACAGGGGTAAAACAAAACAAAACAAAACAGGAAGAAGCGAAAAGAGTCACGTTTAGAAGGACCGGCAGGAAACAACGAAAAGAATACAATACAATGTGGGCAGCAGCGCCGCCGGAGTTTGACAGGGAACTCAGACATCTTTTTTTTTTCTGTCCTGCCTATTCTTTTTTTTTTCTTTCTCTCTGTGTTGCCACCGCAGAGGTTTTGGGTTGCACATACGTGTGACTGGTAACATGCCCACAAAACAAAAAAGGAGAAAAACGACGTGCCAACAATTTCAGTTAAGAATATACATGGCTTGTGCTCCCCTCTACCAGAGTTCACCGTGTAAACGAGCTCCTTTACCCGCGCTCCTTGCACGCACACCAGCTTCACATTCAGGCCAAATATTACAGCACATTTTTTCTGAGCTTGACGGCACCGCTTCAAAGGAAAGCCCTTAAGAGAGAGACGGTGCGAGGGAGAGAGTTCATCATGAAAATGTGTGCGGACAAACGTGTAAAAATATGGCTTAGACTGCGTACTTTCTTCTTCCTTCTTTGGCTTATGCATTCTTTTTTTTCCCTTTTCATCTCCCTCTCTCTTACTCTTCCTCTCGCGCACTTTTTCTTTTTGTTCAAGAAGTTCTTTTTTGTGGACGCCGTTGGTCCCAGGACAGGATACCGCGCATCTGCGGAGACTCGTGCTGGAGCCTGCGCAGTGGACGCCGCGGTGAGTCTAGCGACTGCCCCCCACCAAAGATGACGTTGGAGTTTGTAATTGAGCAGCCTGGCACACGCGCGCGGCCCGTCCTCGGGGCCGGTGAAGGAGGCAGGGAAACTGAGTTGTCTTCGTTTTCGGTAAACACTGACGCTGCGCTAGACACCTGCGAGGCAGAAGTAGTGGCACGCCGCCTCCTGGTGGCATCTTTCCTCTGGCTAAGCATCTCGCTTTGGGTCCCACGCTGGGACGACATGTGGCTCCAGCTCCGCAAAGCAGAGGAGGAGGCAACACTGCTGGGACGGCTGGAATAGGAACCGCCACGACGACGCTCCTGACGGCGTGTGGGTGTCCCGCCGTCACGTGACTCCGCTTCGCCAAAGGGCGTGGTGATACGCTGATCCTTGGAACGGGTGCTCCTCTTTTCACCGCGAAGACTTGCGCTTCCCAGCGACGATGCTCGATGGCTTGTGGTTTCTGCATGATACTCAGAACCGTAGGGCTCGCTGCTGCAGGCAGAGGAAAATGAACGGGTTTGCCGCATCATGTGCTCCCGTCGCTTTCTGACGCCAAAGATGTCGTGATCTGAAGCTGATAAGCTTCGCGTGACATTTGCACGAGAACGGGGCGCTTTCCGCGGCGGCAGTGTAAGCTGGGGCTGAGTGGATTCGAACTTTCGCACCGCCTCCTTACTGCGGAGCCCGCGGGGGGTCAATCCCACCTCATCCGATGAGTTCCTTACGCGCAGGTCGTCGCCAAGTTTATCGGTAGGCTTTGAACGCACCCGCCGCACCCCCGTCCTTAAAACTGGCGATGTGGTTCGTGAGTTCCCTTCATCAGAGTGGTTGCCAAACAGACGAAGCTTGTCCCTGCATGCACTTTCGCTGCGGTGGCGTCGTCCCCGCACTGGAGAGGGTTCGCGTGCTTCGGCGCAAAGAATGAATCGCGCTAGCGCCCCAAGTCCGTCGTCGTTCTTCCTGGCTGCCTTCGCCGGAGCCCGCTGGATTGGTAGCGGGGCCGTATCAAAGATGTGACTCTGCTGCATGTGCTTCCACCTCGAGCGGTTTGAGTTTTTCTTTAGCGGGAACAGTTCGGGGTCCACGCGGTGCTGCGTCTCGTAAAGGAACCGTAGGTCATCTTTCTGGGAAAGATCCAAACGGTACATGTCGGGACGCATGTCCCCCAGCTGTGGCTTCCGAAACAGCAGCGAGTCCATCTCCTCCTTCGATATCCGCTTCGCCTCCCCATGCGAGCGGCGGACCCCGCCACTACTTTGTCGCCGTCGTTCTCGGTTCACGCTTTGCTGCACGTCACCGTTGCGACTTCCGCGAGGGGAGTTTTTGGCGACGCCGTTGGAGGCGTTGCTGCTTGAGCGGCGAGCCTGCGGTGCCGCGTCACCCCGCCGGCCGCCGTTCGACCCCGAGGACGCCGCCGAACCCTTCGGCTTCGCCCGTCCCGCAGAATCGTTCCCGCTGCCAAGAGAGCGAGGGCTTTCGCCAGAGGCCCCGCGCGAGCGCACGCTTCTGGCCTCGCGGCTACCACTGATAGAGCCTCTCTGAGAGGATCCCGATAGCATCACTGCCTCTTCCTGCTGCGGTTGACGTGGCGTGCGCAGTTTGAGCCACGGGAGCCACAGCGCAAGAACAAACAAAAACAAAAAAATAAAAGAAAATGACAATGCACGCAAATGCGTAGGGGAAAGCCAAAGGGAAGGGGAAAGAACAATATACCGGACATGACCACGTGCAAAGAAAGCAGTTCCGCAGCAAAAGGCATGTGTAAATTTAAATAATATATATATATATATATCAGAGGGACTTTCGACGCCTTGTTTTTTTTGAGCTACCGGCCGGATCCGTTGATGGGCCATATCCAGCTGCTTCTGCAACGATGTACTGCAAATTACGTTGCGAACGCGAAGGGTACTTCGCCGACGATGCAGGGGGGTTGTTCCATTCATTCCCTCGGTGCAGTGCGGTGTTCGCCGCGCCATGCAGGCCGTGTTGCATGGAGAAGTAAGAACCACTAGTAACATCATCGGCTTCACCCGGGGACGCAGAGGTGCCTGGTGGCGTGCCACGCTGCGTCGTGGGGTGACTCACTGCCGAGAGTTCACTCCCCATGCCGGTAAGGTTTGAGGGGAGTCCTGCCGTAGCGGAGCTACCGCCTCGAGGCGCAAACCCAGCGGTAGACAATGCATCCCACAGCTCGCAGCCCTGCGACGAAAATGGCGCCAGCGACGATGTTGTTGCTAGTAGTGGCGGTGTTGACGACGCCGAGACGGTCTCAGCGGAGGTGCGCAAAGACAAGAAGCGTAAATCTGCGGCAAGCGATTTTTCCGTCTGTATGGCACACGCTGCATGGCGAGCATCATTTGCCGGCCCAACAAGCTGCGCTGGTGTAACGCGCGGCAAGTCAACGTACGCCAATCCGCTCTCAGCCCCATTCCCAGTACTGGGTGCCACAATTACTGTATGCAAGGTCGAAGTTGAGGCGACACCTGCCGCCTGCAAAGAAGCAAGACGCTCTGGTGTGGGCACCCCCGTGCCGGAGTTTGCGGAAGTGCCGTTTGCACCGTCACGCTCCCACAGTGCACTGGCAGCTGCACCATCTGTGTTTTCCGTGCTGCGCAGCACAGATGGAAATTTTAGACGAATGCCTACATGAATGCGCTTGGGCTTCCCCGACGCGTCACACCAGGCGCCTCTCCAGAGCCAGGATGGGATGCGCATGGGCACAACAACGGGTCCACTGTAGTCAGCGATAAATGCCACTTCGTCCTGCACACTTCTTGTGAAGCGCTGATATTCCAAATGACTGCTGTTGACCTCCCAAAACTGCAACTTACGCAGGCCCATAATTACTAATCCAACAATATGACGACCATCTAAACAGTGAACATAAATTGGGTGTTGCTCAAGATTAATAAGCAGCTGCAGTACCTCGCTCATTTCCGTCGGTAGAAGCTGCACTTCACCCTTGTACCGTTCGGCTCGAATGTGCCGCAGCGTGATCTTCTCCGCGGCGGCGAAGCAGCTCAGGTCGTAGGTTGGTTCCTCTGGGATCAGCGAGACAATGGTGCGCAGGCCGAGGCCGCGGAGGAAGGGAAAGTTGCGCAGCACCGGGTACGCGCCGCGGTAGACCCCCTCCTCCACCATGGCGAACCTCAACGGGGGCACAACGTTCAGGAGGGTGGGGTCGGGCGGCGAGGCCCCTGCCGCCCCCCACGCCGTGCGGCCCCCCTCCATGCGTAAGCGGCTTGCGTGGCCCCGCGATCCGCCGCCTGTACGCCCCGATGGACCGGCCCCCTTCGCTTTCCCTCTCCCCGCTGCTGCGCACGACGGGCTTTGACGCAGGGGAAGAGGAGGGCGAGCAAAAGGGAGAAAACAGGCAAAAGCGTTGGAATGTCACGTGGGTAAATAACAACAAGAACAAAATACAGAAGACTAGAGCGGTGACCTCGTGCCCCGCAAAAAAGAAAAAAAAACGACGACAACAACAACAACAACACAAACCGCTTAACTGCCACCACAGCGGCCTCCTTGCCGGTCGTGGTGCCCATTACCTACTACCTCTGTAGATAGCATTCTTTTGTTTTTATTTACTTGCTTGCTTGCACAATTAAAGTGCGTGACAGCCACAAACGAGAGAAAAAAAAATGTGGCAAATCACACACGCGCACAAACAGACAAAAAAAAAGAAGTAAAATTGAAAAGAAAACAAAAAGAGAATTTCCCCTCTCTTCTCTTTTCTTCATTCTCACAGAGAGAAAGAAAGATCCCTCCCCTCCCCTCGCTACAATGCAGCCGTAAGCTTGTCAAGGCCGAGCATACGCGTGGGAAGAGCCCAGAAGACGTACGCCACGAGTGCCCCACCCGTCGAAGCACCGTGCTCCTCCGGCTTCGTCGTGAAAATCCTCCAGACGTCTATAACCATGACAAACGCAGTGAGAACTAAAAACGGGACGGGTGGCTGCTGAATAAAATTGAGGTGTCGGAAGATGAGACCCTCCACGGCAACGAGACCAAGAATAAATGGGTTGGGGCCGTAGCACCTTCCACGCACCTCCAATGGGTCCATGCCATAATACAGCTCGAACTGTTGGCGCGCCAAATGAATGAAACTTCCACCGAGCGTACAGAGTGCCGCAAAAAAGGTCATGCGGGTGTTCCCAAGAAAACCCAGCATTGTGTTTCCAAATTGCCAGAGCAGCCAGCAATCGATGAGGAGCTGTAACAGATTCTCCTGGTAAAAGGCATTGGTAAGCAGTGGATAAATCATCCAGGCATTTTCGTGGGAGAGAGTGAAGTGGTCAACGATAAAGTCCCGCAGGCCGTCGCTCCCCGAGAAGTTCATAAGAAGATATGTGACGACGTTGGCAAGGAAGAGTAACATGACCACGTTGATTGTGTGGAAAGGGGGAGGAAAGGGCAGATAGCCCGGCCCCGCATTGGCCGAGAAAGGATCCTCCTGCTCCTTCTGCTCCTCCTCGTCACCCTTCCCTTCGTATGTTTTCACCTCACGGAAGCCGGCAAGCTGGTCGTTCGGTTTTTTCGATTCGTGTAGGTTTGAAGTGCTAGAGAAGTTCCGGACGGAGCCACGGATGGAACCCACGCACATGCGCTGCTGCTGCTGCTGGGCGTGATACAGCGCGAGGAAAGTGCTCCTCGCCGGCCCAACAAGTGAAATGCCGCGTTTCTGCAGCATTCGGGCCGCCGCGCTAGAAGACAAAGAGTTGGCTTTGCAGGCGAACGGAAAAGCGCTGCGACACCGTAACATGGTCTTTGTCTTCTTCTAGGAAGCGGTTAAAAACACTTTAGCACCTTCAACCAGGCAATGGTTCAAAATAATAAGGGCACGCAAGTGAAGGAATAATCAAAGCAAAAAAGAAGATAGAGAAAGAAGGGCCAGAAAATTCAAGGCACGGTCCCATGAAAGACATCACACTGGGGAAATGCCCAAGCTGTTTTGCACCCACCAGACATCATGAGGCACACTTCATCTCCTCCAAAGTCGTATAAATGTTTTTTTTTTCTTTCGTTCTTCCTTGCTCTCCGCTTCTTCGTCGTGCGGGTGTGCATGCGCGCGCCCTTCTCAGCCGCTGTGGGGCGCCTCCTCGTTCCGTCCCTCTTCCATGGGAAATGCAGGCGGTTGTTCCGCGTTCTGCTGCGCCTCCGCCAGTGCTTTTCGCCTCTCCTCAAGCAAGCGCAGCTCAAGCGCGTCACGGTGCAGCACATCGCGCAGCCGCATCCGACGCAGCTTCATAAAATTCATCTTGCTACGAAGCACTGGATTCGCCACGGCACGCACGCGGCCGAATGTCGCCGGTATCTGCGACGCAAGATCGCTAAAGCTGACGTGTTCCGGCACACCGATAAGAGCCTTCGCCTCGTCGAGGTCAAGCATATCAACTTTCACCACGTGCCGCGCTCGCCAGAGCTGCTTCCTCACTGGTGGAATGTCAGGCACAATTGTGGTCTGGCCCTTGTACTCCAGCCGCAGTTCCCGCAGCGTGCGGTTAATCTCCCACGAGTGCTTGAAGGGGTGATCATCACAGTGCACAATGAATATGTTGCCGACGTATCGGTACGGTCCGGGAGAGATCGACGTTGCGGCCACGGCGCTGTTTCCCTCGACGCCGGCATCGGCGTGGCTCTGCTGGGCCTCCCCACCACCATCACGGAGGTCACTACTGGCGGCCGGAGACGCCTCTTTGGATCGCAGGGCAGTTGTGGCGTGACACATGGCGCGCCGCCGCGACAGCTGCACGTGCATCCAAGCACGCCTCATACACATATCTATTTTTCTTTTCTTTTCGACTAGTGGGCGGACGCAACCCCCTGTGTGGCCGACGGTTAAGGGAGAAAAGCAAGGACAAAACACACAATGGGGAACAGATGTCAAGCGGACAACGAGCGCAACCGCCTCTTCCAGAGAGGCACCAGAGGCAAAGGAGCGGGGCGTCCATGCAGAAAAAAAGAGAGAGAGGAACTTAAGTACATAGAAGAATGGAGGAAACTTTTTCACATCGTTGTAGCTGCCAGAGACCGAGCCCTGGCCTTTATGGGCACAACACCGCTCGCACGCTCTCTTTTTTTATTGGCGTTTCGAGCCCGCGCCACACATCCGCGCCCTCACCGAGGCCTTTGGTTATGCACATTAAAGAGGCCCCATGGGGCAGGGGTGGACGCGCCCCACAACGTTGAAAAAATAAGGCGAAACAAACGACACAGTACACAACATCACGAGGTTCGCCGCGTCGCAGAAACGTTGCCCCGCGTGCTTTGCCTCCCCCCCCCCCAAAAAAAAAAAAACCCCAAGTCTATACGCAGAGAGAGAGAGAGAGAGAAGTAAATGCAGAGCGCTCCTCCGCATACTCCCTTGGCGAACTACTCCAAAGGGAACGAGGGAAAAAACCAAACAATGCATATATGGCGGGCAAAAGCAAAAGAGAAAAGAGAAGCGATGAGACATCAAAAATAAATAAACGAACAAGAAGAACAAGTCTGCGGGCTGGAGGAAAGGCATGATTACCGCAAGTACCGCTTCCGCCACAGACATGTCTCCCCACTTAGTACTTTGCTCGGTAA